CGTCGATCGTTGCACCGCAGCTGAGAGACAGTAAGATGAATTCTTGCCGGAAAGATCGATCGATCTCAATGGCAAAAACATTATATCGAGTGGGGACAGAGAGTGTTGCAAATAAGTATCAGGAGTGGAATCTCAGGTCGGTTGGAGGGGGGCACATCGAAGAACAGCGTGAAACAAAGGGAGTGGCAAATTGCATCTTCATTGCTGACTGGGCCTTGGCCCTCTGCAACGTCAGGAACGAACACAAGCAAATACTCGAAGAGAGACATCCGCACTCGCCGGAAATGCCGCTAATGAATAAATGCGACTCGTAATTAAGATTGTCTGGAGGCTCGCTCGCTCGTTCGTATTAACGTACGTGCGTACGGACGAGCATTCACGGACCGTCAGCTATTCGACAGGCCTCGGATGAAGGAAACGGATAGATGAGCAATGATGCGAACAAATGAATCAGCATTGGGGATTGGGGGGATATGCAACAAGAGGCTCACGATACTCCTACAGTTCTCACAAGCTTCGCCTCGAGCGATGTCTACATAGATCAAGTTCTGGGTTCACTCTGATCTTCCCGAGAATCCATTATTCTGCGAATGGATGTTTCAATCGCGCAATTACGAAGGGGATTAATCAAAAGTTCGTCAGTCGACCTCATTCTGGAACTCAGTTCCTCTGCGTACCTTGAGAGGATAAAACGTTGGAGTTTCGTCCTCTTGAGATATTTTCTCTCGCGCAATTCCGACTGAGGCGGGGTCTATAAATTCGTGAGATGAACCCTTGCTCCCACTCGCGTCGATATCAACGGGTCGACGGTTTTACGATTCGAGACGTTGTCTCGTCTCTGTTTTTGTCGAGGTCCGCCCCGCGTCTTCAATGAGCTCGATCGACGGTTCAGAAAGTGCTCTTACTTCGTGGTGTCGGTAAGCGGGGAATTCTGCAAACGACTTTATTTTTCCGATCCGCAAAGCCACTGACCTTGATGTGAAATGAGCCGCAAACGGCTCGGAGGTCATGAGAGTCTGCGCGACGCAGAGCTGCTATCCGTAAGTGGCAGAGCGAATCGTCGGTCATTCATCGGTTCTCGAGAGCCAGCTTCCTGTCCTTCCCGTCGTCGGTCGGTCGGCGGAAGGCTTTTATCAAGCATTTGCTCTCCTACGTGTCCCTTTCTGCCCGGCAGCAGTGCGACTGAATTTTCGGAGGGAAGCATGTCCTACAACGATGTGAGATGTTTCCCCGATCCGAGGGACGGTTCGGTCCTTTCAGAATCTGAGGCGGATTCGCGCTCTCAGTCTCCGGGGCACGTACTGACGATAGAGACCTTCTCCCGGGACAAATAATAATCAGCTTTTCGTGCAACAGCCCAAATAAAGCTGGACCCTGTGGCGCCACAGGTAACGACAAGGAGCCTGTATTGGAGAGTTAGCTTTTACATCGACGACATTTCTTCTCCTGAGCATCCTGGCTTCCTGCTTTCGACGAACCTTCAAATAAATCTCGCACCATCTGACCATCCGACTTCCTTATCGGGCCATCGACCCGCTTGTATTGGGTTGTCTTATCGAGAAACACCTCAAGTAGGCGCCGCGCCGCTACTGAAAGGAGTGCTCAGGGAGGGTCCAGCGATATATACCTACACTCGTCTGACTGATTCCTTGCCCTACATGGGGTGACATCGAGGATCCGAATTCGGAGGATAAATATCCCGTCATCTATTACCGGGATGCGACTCCGGAAAGGTTCGTAGTCTTTCCCCGTACTTCGCCCGCGCGTCAAAATCTTCGAGCCATGGGAAGAATGATGGATTCGTTTGTTCTTCACCCTTGCAACTGGCGGGAATAGAGCTCACGACAAATACGGGATGTCATTAACTTTGCACGCTCCTCGCGAAAGTCCCGAGTGCTCCCTGGTTCATCCTTTGACGCTTCGTCGGTCTGTTGGCGAATCAACTCCCGGATCCTTCGTTTCCAGCGGAGTAAAACCGAGGAGTTCGGAACGACGGACTCGGAGAGTTCCCCACCGATCGCTTCGGAGATTTCCGGAAGAGTAAGATGAGTTGTTCTCGGAGCATCCGGAGTAGAATCGGATGGCCGGGAGCCCATGCGAGTAGCTCTGACCTGGTTGACATGATATAAATCCACGACGATCAGCGGAGAGAAGTTCAGCGACCGACGTTGCTCTGTAGGATTTAGCAATCTTTCGGGTATCCAGCGGGAGTTGGAGGATTCTCGCAATGTATTCTCCCAACGAGTCCGCATGAGCGAGAAATAGAATCGGGAGGTATAGGTAAGTGTATCGGAATGTAGCGGCACGGCGGTGGGATCGAGCTGCTCGACAGACTGCCAGACGGCGAGGCCGGAGATCTCTCGGAGACAGGAAAAAGAGATGCGGAGCTTTGGAAAAGAGCTCTTAAAATGTGGCTTGGAAATTTAGCTTCTCGAACAGAGTTCCGTTCTCGTCCTCCATCTCCCTCCCTCCATTGTACAGCCGCTGAACAGAGACATCACTTCCTGTCGACATGTCGTCGTCAATGGGAAACGACAAAGAACGGTGGCGTTTGGGGGCGAGAGGAGGGCTCGGAAGTCGGCCGGCGATAAGTAGCGAGAGATCTGAAGGAAAAGGGGAGGATGATGTCGAAATTTAAGGAGTAGAAGGAGAAGAACGAGAATCGAGGAATAGACCCGGAACGTCCGGTCTCGCGGAGCGATATCCTTTCAGCGCCGGAGATTTTCTCTCTGATTTCCACCTTATGTCACTTCAGATGTCCAACTCCGGACAGATAGTGTCCCGAAGAAGGGACGACAAGATTTACTTCTTCAGATCTCTGCTCCTAGTGTCGCACCCTCTAGCCGCCCCTCTCAGCTCCTCTCCTCACGTTGACCTCATCTCTCACATTCATCACTCCGTAAGGGAGGGGGTCTACGTGATGACCCGGAAGCCGATCTGACGGGCTATTTATAACCTCTAACGGTATCGGTCAGGCCATGGAAATTATCTTGACCGTTTCGCCTACTTGTTCATCAGCGCTGCTTATCTATACGGCCCTTCGGGCAATCGGGCTTCCTCGCATGCTGGACAATCGCTCGTATTTGCAGGAAGCGGAAAACATGATCTCATTTATTCTTCCTCCGATTATTCATCCTATTTCGCGTCTGCCCATCTCCTCTCAACTCGGATCCCTCTGGAAAACTTGTTCGCCTCATTCCCCGCGACCCTATATCTCCTCCGCTTTTCTTCGACTCATCGATCCTGTCTCACGCCGCGCCGTCCTACGCAGGAGGATGACTTCCCGCTCGGCCGAGGGGTTTATGGAAATCCTCTCATAAATTCGGACGCGATGACGTAAATATTCCTCCGTCGAGCTCAGCAGAACAGCGTATAATATTTCGGTCATATTATCCAGCGGGAGTACCCCCTCGAGACGAGCGCCTTCCATTTTTTTCCCATATTTGAAACACACTATTAATGTCTATGTGTCTACTTCGATGAAAAAGAGTGCAACCTGCCTCTGCTGACCCAGGGGGCAAGAATCGCAAGCCAGTCGAGCGCCGCTCACGACCATCGATATCGTGGTAGACGTTATCAGCACTATCATTGTCGGAGAGTCTTTCAGAAACTCGCGACAGCCCCATCGGACTCTAACGAGGTTATTGACGGAGATCATCGAGCCGCCAGAGCCTAACGATCAAGAAGCCCAAGGGCCGCTAACGTGCCAGTCCCAATGTATTTCCCCTTAGCCTCGGCTCGCTCATTTGGCTCTTTCGATCCATCCCCTCTTCCATTCCCGGAGAATTTGAGGAGAAGGATGATGGGGAAATTAACGTCATCACATCCGGACGACGACGACGACCGACTTGACCATCGCAAACGATGACTTCCTTTATGAAGGCGGCGCCGCCGGCGGCGCGGATACTGAAGGCAGACGATTCGGCGGAGATCGCACAGAAATCATCGAGCTGTCGAAAGACGGGACAAGGGAGACGCCGACGACGAAGACACCGAGAACCCAATTTAAGATGTCCGTCGAGCGCGCGGAATTGGGGCCCTTGTAATCCTTCCGCTACGTGAAGTTTGCAGCAGCAATGTAGGCTCTTTCGTCCGCCGACTATGATACGGAATTCGCGTCACGTTCCACGGCTCTTCGTCAATAACTGTATTGACCAACGGATTCTTATCTCGACCAACTAGGTAATCTCGGAATCCTTTGCTTATTTCCTACTGCTACCGGCTGCTATTCTCATAAACTACCCAGCGACTGTCAGTTATCGGAGAGATCATTCCCTCCCTCGGAACATCCGCGCGGTGAATATCAGGGGAGAAGATTCGTCTGCAGAAAAGCTCAGGATTCTCAGATTCTTTGATTCTCAAAATTCATTTGAGAAAAAGCACGGGCCTGACGCTCTACAACAAACTCACGGGATGATGAGCTGTGAACGGGCCATATCTCTATGGGAATGCTCCCTCTCCCAAACTCTTCAATGAGAAGTTTTCACGTAGAGCTACTGCGGGTTGTGAATTCTCAACTCGCCAAAGATATCCGACGCTGTACAAGCTTGAACAACGCTGTCAGTGATACCGTCCTGCCACGCTACAGATATAGCGTCGGCGGTACATAACGAATATGAGAGACGGGCAGCCCGCGTCGTCCTGCCTGACGTCGTCGTTGTCGTCCTTTGGGGGTTTCTTTCGTTCAGGATGACGTGCCGATAAGCGACACACAGTAAGGTCTTCATCTGAGCGTCACTACCCGTCTAAGCGGCGCGGCGGCGGGAGCATCGGTACAACCCGAGAAGGCGGAAGCTGTCCCGACCGTCCGGCCGAACAGGAGCCGTTCGGCTGAGCGCAGACCCTGCCGCTCAACGAGAACGCCTTCGCGGTCCCCTGACCATGTTTCCCTGAAGGCGACGACCCGGAGCCTTCAGCGGTCTAATGAAGCGATTATATTCGATGATGATACCAGTGATGTCCTATGAATGTATCATTAATCTTTTCCTTCTTGTTTGCAGGCTATGGAGAGATCGCTCCTCGCACAGGACTGGGCAAGGTTGTGACCGTACTCTACGCGATCTTTGGCATTCCGCTCATGCTGCTCTACCTAGCGAATATCGGCGACATCTTGGCCAGAGCATTCAGGTGGGCTCCTGACGCCGACGAAGCATGATATTCTCGCGGGAATCTGAGTGTACATGTACAGAGAGACAGGCGGTGTTGCCTTGCCGGACGGCGCCGCACATACTGACCGCAATCTCCCGACAGATTTCGACGGCTTGGCAACGAGGCCAAATCAATGCTCAGAATCCGCGAGAATGGCGGTAGCATTTCTCTGAGGTTATACGACGAGATAACCGACACGGACCATGCACTCCAGATTCTAGACTATCCGGATTTCGTTACGGGGTGGAATCCGCTCCACGGCCGGAGAATCTGTGATTCTCTGGACAGAGGCATCAGCGGCTATTCCCGTCCGCCGGGTTTACATCCGAGGGTACAATAATGAAATTGATGATAATGATTATCAATGACTGACTGTGATCAGATTCGCAACGGACTCAGGCGAAACTCATTCTCGGGAACGGATTCCTAATGCACCTTCCGGTGTTGCTTTTCGGATGAAGCTCCTCAGTTACTCAATGAATGGAACGCCTAGAATTCACGGAGCTTAAAAACCGTCCGTAGAAACGACGCCGGCTTCACCTTCAGCCATGGCGCGCGGAGGGGACTGCCCAACACTCGAGGAACAGAAAAGAAGAAAAAAAGAGGGGGAACTCAGAAGAGCCGCGCAGGATATTTGCATCTTAAGTGCATTGTCGAGGAGCGAGCTGGCCGTCCAGCTGATTGGGACTCTCTCGCAATTCCACGAAATTAATCCTCTCACTCCGCCGAGTTTGCGATTTGGATTTTTTTTCTGTGTTGTCCGAATCAGGGGAAGAGAAATGACGGAAGAGAATCTCATGGTAGATCGATGGGAAGTCCCGCGTCGCTCGCCGCAACAGACTTCTAGCTGCTTGTCCGCGGAATAAGCGGTCTAACTCGGTAGAAATATACGTGATTGGAGGAAAAGTTTCGGCGGAGCGCAAACTTCCCATTGATTGCAGTGCCGTATCTTCCAGGTTCACGTACGGAAAAATGTGCACCTGTTCGCGACGCAGTCCCGACCGACAAGACATTCCGCTGCCTGCCGTCGGCTATGGACCCCACAACTCGAGCTCTCTGCACCGCATGAATCATAATAGCAACTACGCGAGTTCGTACCGAATGGTAAGTAACCATCGGATGTCACCACGATTTCCCCCCTGATTTTTCTCCACCCGGGCTTCTGCGGGACGCTCTACGAGCGAGCCAATGACGAGGTTGGGGAAAACCACCGGGAAGGAGGTCAGCGAAACCACAATTCTCTCTGGTCACCTCCCTCGACAAGCACCTTCCCCAGCACTTATATGAGGGTGGACCCGAAAAGACAGAGGATTAATGGCTTATATCAGGGAGCATGGAGCGTCCCTCTCTGCTCTTCCTTTTAGCAGTATTGTCTTCCTGCCTGTGCTGTCCCATTCAGAAAACATTCTCCCAGCGTACATCTCACCCCAGCTATCTGGCGAGATCATTCTCACGAAAGTTTCTCAGAAGACTTCCGACTGAATTGATTTCCCGTCTATCTTCATTAGTCTTCGTGCCTGGGCTCCTCCGGACGGGGAGAGAGAGAGAGCTTTATACGGCCTACGGAAACATCGTTGCAATCGATAATAATCTCTGTCTGCTTTTCAGAATCATTACTCGGCGGAACCACCCATTGAGAAATCAGATGTACGTCTCCATCCCCTCGACCTCAACCTGACGCAGGCTGAAATAGATGATTTGGAAGATTTGAACACATGCCGAATCAGTAAGTGCATCATCCGCTCCCCTGCCTTCGATCATCTCCGACCGGTTCGATGATAGTAATTCCCGGAGAATTTAGAGCTCGTCAAAGAGACCCGAGGTGAAATGGACCGAGGAGTGTATAGTACCTCGCGGAGCTTGAGGAGTCCAGTCGGAAGAAAAAAGTATTGGCTTTCTCCCATCGATGCCTCAGTCCACCGCTGCGGTGCGGTTTGAGGAAAACCACTAGAGGAGTCGCGTGTTGATGATTCTGACCTCGTTTTCTTTTTTCCCAATGCAGGAAGCGGACCTGTTCTCTCTTCGCCGATTCTTTCACACGCAATCTTGAACGCAACCCGTTATCCGAATCCATCTGGCATGGATCGCGTCTCGATACCGATCTCGCTCTGCCTCTTTATCATGATCGCTTACATCTCAGGAGGCGCCGTCCTGTTTTCTCTCTGGGAAGATTGGGGTTTCCTCGAAGCCGCCTACTTCTGCTTCGTCACTCTCTCCACAATCGGTGAGTTTCCTCGCCCGCTTTCTGGGGTTTCAGGAATTAAATCTGGGAGCTCAATCGGATCTGGAGCACAACAGCTGAACTAGTAGGATGCGTAATGAAATATTGGGCACCCAATGAGGAGAAAGCGACGCGTCGGTCGGCGATGAAAATTATATCGGGCATATCCGATGCACACACAAAGTGACGTGGTGAGTCCGAGTCCCGGTGGAATCGCCCGGCATCGGAAACCTCACTGCGAGGAAGGAAGAAAAGACGGCGAAAATAAACGAGTTCGACGTCGGTCGAATCGACAGCCGGAGGGGGCCGCGTCTCCTCCAGAAGTGCGTGACCACTCGAGTATTGGCGTGTTCCCAATGATCTCTGAAACTTCTTCCCCTGGCACTTGCCAGCAGCTAACTCCTTGGCTACGAGGACGAGAAGTTTTGGAATACGTTCGGATAGATTTGTATGCAAAACGAGGGACTTCGCCCGGGTCACCGCACTGCGGCCCCATTATTCCGCAAGGAATTGTGCACGACCGCCCGGCGTCTGTGCGAGCGGGAGAAGTGGCGATGTGCGATACATTCGGAAACACTCTCCAAGCTTGTCAGAGTTTGTCACATGAATTGAATGATCAGGGGGATGACCGTGCGAGGCGGTACAAACGTCGGTCGCTCCAAGGGTAGCATCGTGCTCATTGACGTTGACCCGTGCTAAGAACCGCTGCGCTGTGGGTCAGAACTGTGAAGGGACCATAGGATTTCACCCTTGCTTTCCGCTGGATGTGAAAGCCAGAAATGGCTCCGCGCCATCACGAATTCCCTCCGGAAAAATGTCACCGTGACTATGCAGAGCAGTGTGTGACGATCGAATTGACCCTCACGACTATACCTTCAGTCGACAACTCCACTTTCCTGCGGAGAGAGCTTTGGAATCACCTATGGAAATTTGGCTGAGAAAAATCGTTCAAAATCTAAGGGTTCAAGTCCCCGTGGACGAATTCGGGGGACCGTGTATTATGTGGGAGGAAAATGAAATGTCTCAGATTTTGAACAATCTGTGCCATCGAGGATCGTGGCTGCTGTGCTTCACAGGAATTACAGGGTACGTCATCTCCTCGACAACGAACAATAGTACGCCGAGAACGGAGAGCCGCCACTACCTCAACAGCCGAGTTTAAAGCTCTGCGGGCTCCCTGATGTCTTCCCTGAGGCGAACTGTCCTAATGCTCGATAAGGGAGTCGATGAGTCTCGTACGCATTCAACGTGAGACTCGCACAGATATCAGAGCTCAACAGTATCAGAGATTGGCCGGTGTAGGTCGGCTTGTTTCCGAAGTGGCGGGGAGTGATGTCAGGATCGCTCCTCGCCGCTCGGGACGCGGTCCCTCCGCCGTTGGTGCGATAAAACTTGTGCTGTAAGGGGATGGAGTCGGTTTTGCTTGTCATGCGGACCCTCAAAACGGCTCTCCCGCAACTTCGGGGAGCCATCTTCGGTTCGAAGAATCCGTCACCTAACAAGGTGGGGAAAAAGGAGAAAGCGGCAGCATTGGGTCCACCGCAGCGGAATTTGAGGCCAGTTTGCTTGGTACATCGCGCGTATGCGCTCGTTGTGCATTCTAAAACGAGCAGGCGCTTCGCTCAATATCATCCCGAAGGGGTTTTCTCTGCTTCTCTCGAGCAGCACGTGCGCGAAATACAATATGCGAACGCGGTGGTGTGCGCCCCTACGCCGCCGACCCTGCCGTTGAAAGTGTCGAGGACGCTGAAACCACTAATGGCAGGCGTCGCGTTGGGGCTTATTCGCGGGATGTTTCATGAGCGGGTAGGGCGAAATGCGATCATCATCGAGATACTCAGAGCGAGCGCTCCAGGGTCTGGTACGTGGTATCAAGTTTTCAGATACGCCATGGAACGAAGTTAGCCAGAGCATCGGCCCAGGCTTTATCCGAGATGAATGTCTTTCCACGCACTCTCTTCTCAAAATTCAAGAAATTTACCATTTTCTGATCATGGTGTGATGGAACTCTCACTCGATTTTTGAAGATGTCACTCCGAATTTCCCATGATCCCAATACCTCTCAATGCCATCCCGCGCTCCCGTTCCGATCACGAGTCCAAGGTCAACCGAGGGACGTCCATATCGTGTTCAGTGTATGTGCATGAAGGTCGCTTCCAGAGCACCCCCATCAAGATATCTGGAGAGCTCGGGCCGCCTCCGAATAGGCTGACCGAAAAACCTCATGAGAAACCCAGCTGCATCGTAAGCCTCGTTCCTGCCGATATTCGAGGGCCGGGATATCTATGGCTTTTGATTAGTTCATGAAGCATCCTTCCTCCAACAACCATGATTTTATATGGACTTGAAGAGAAGGATGCTGTTGTCCTGCAGCAGAAGATGAACGTCTTCATTCCCTGTGGCCGACCTTCTCCTAGGGAGAATATCTGACCACGATCGTTTCCAGAGCACGAGGTGACGGATCAATCAGGCTCTAGGGGTGAGGGAGTAGAGGGGCGGTGGACGTTAATTGTGCATGGTGACGTCAGAGAAGTAAGAAACACGCGAAAGGTTCCGGCCTGACTAGCCGAGCCGGGGTCGAACGAACAAATAGACGACTCGTTAGACCGACATCCATGCGCGCGTCGACTTTGCCCAATTAGGCGATTAATTTGCTCCTAATCCATCTGAAGACCTCATTTGCTCACTTCGGGAGCTCCGTGAAAGATGGCTACGCTTCGCGGTTTGGAGACACACCCTCCGTCAAGGTGATCTCTGAACGACTCCGTTCCTGTACGGATGGCCTTCACTCCTCAGGGTTAGCTGCCGGCAAGCTGACTCGGTCCATTGGTCTCCACGTCAGATTCTAATTGAAACAAAGTCACCGAAAACACTCAGTGAACCTATTCCCCCGGGAATTTCCCAATGTGTGTGGAATTAATCGATAAGTGCTATCGGACTCCCCGGATATGAAATTCGACCTCGAAGGAAGATGAAAACCGGGTCCGTCATTCCTTCGCGCGGCCGGGCAGCTCGGGCCAGACAGCGCTTCAAGACCCGAACTTGATACTCCGGGGCACTCGTTCTCAAGTGTTCAGTGGAGTGTTACGCCGGAAGAATCACGAGTAACAATATCTACTATCTGAGAGAGACACGAGGTCTAACCCCGGGAATCGAGCGCGAGCGAGAGGCACGGAACCGAATGAAGCTTCTTCTTAGCCATTTGCCACGCTTTAACGGTTCGGGTATCGATTCTATCTGAAGCCTTCATCGGTAGCATCTCCGTCACATTTAGGAATCGGAGACCGAATACATGGAGTCGGCACGCTCTCCCCGATGGAAGACACGTCGATGCTCCGCTCGATGAGGTGCTCATAGCGTAGCCTGCAATCATTCCCGTTCGACGTGGCTTGGTGCGAAGTGTCGCGTGCACTGACATCCCACGCGGCCCTTTTTTCACCATCGAGTGGCGCCGGACTTTCACCAGCGAGCCGTCCCATATATTCCAACGACACGCGCACTGACAGACGCCCTCATGACTACGAGTTCATTGACGTCAGAATGATGGCCTCCCTCGATGGGAGTCTGTGCCCAGAGGTCTGTCGGTGCGAGAATGTATGCGGCGCTAAGTTGTTCCCGGCGGCAGGTCTCGTGTTCATGCTCGGCCACTCGATTGATTCGGGCCGCTTGGAGGCATCCTCGAGTTGCGGATCGACGAGCTGAGGATTCACGATTGGGGGACGGCTATGCGGACGGAGTTCTCGGAATGGGAAACGGACTCAGCTCTCGAGAAAAATCGGCGGAAAGATTATTATCCACGACGCCTCGTTGCACAGGGGCCCCAGTGACCCGACCGGTCGTCGTCAGGATACGACTCGTGTTGGCGAGAAATCCCCTGCATCGCTGTTGCTTGGGATGGGGAACTCGAACTCGCATCGTGACCAACTAATACCCGGTCTGCTTCCATTTCTAGGGTTTGGCGATTTTGTTCCTGGAGTCTCGGACACTGACAGTCAAGAGAAGCTCGTCATCTGTTCATTGTATCTATTAGTAGGCATGGTTCTGATAGCCATGTGCTTCACGCTCATGCAGGAAGAGGTGGTACATAAGGTGAGTGAACCCCCCGCTAATTAGCGTTCATTCAACCCGCCGACGGGAGGCAGAGCCCATTGGGAATTGGATAGACTACCGATGATGTCCACCGGATGGAATGAATTCCTTCCTGTCAGTGCTCTCGATGGGAATCGAATCCGTAAAGGACAATTTCCACCGTTCCGCGAGCTCGCTCACGTTGCTCACGTGGGACCTGTGGGCAGACGATGCGAGCGACTTTAGAGCTTCCTTTTGACGTGAAAACGTCTTTAAGTTCATCGCGCATACAGACCAAGGGTACTTCGTCCTCAGCGTCACGAAAGTGATCCGCTTTTGACGCTTCATAACTTTGTTCCCCGAACACCTAGATCTTCGCGGTGTGTGCCATAGTATCGAAAATTTACGGCACCAGCTTCCACGCGATTTTGGAGCCGATTGGAGTCCTCAGAGCTCCCGTTCAGCGTGATTCGTGCAACCCTCTGAGATACCTCGATTCTTGCATAAATAATCGCTTTTCTCAGTGCTCAGACGCTGGATTGATCGGAATTGCTTGCCCGGCAAAGGCGACGATGTGTGCCGTCACCGACGCTACTTATATCATTTTGAGGAGCCGTCGCGAAAGAGATTTTCAGGAGAATTCAGGCGATCATCAGAACTCATCAAATCTTATGCGGGCTTCGTTATCCAGCGATATCCCTTCTGATTTGATCATCGCGGTGCCTGCGTTCGCATACTGATCTACTTCGATTAAGCGACCGTCCAGATGAGGCCGAAAAATGCTAGTAGGAGGCGTCTCAAGCGAAAAGCCCAAAGTTTGGCTTGTGGGCCAGCCAAGAAGTCAAAGAGCGCAGCTGAGCGATCTGCTCTGTATCGGAAGCGACATCGGGAGTTCGGGAGGCTTCATTGCTACATTCTCAAGCTACGAACCATGCTCGCAATGGGGAGAATGGAGTCTCGGATCTGTTGAGGACATAAGCCACGGCGCTTCACATGAAATGGAGCCGGAGATAGTGCGATGCTCCAGGTATGAGCAGGTATGGGGGCGCGCGACACAACACTTCCGACACATTTAATCGAAATCTCTATCTCAAGCTGAGTAAACTCGTTCCGATCGCGGGAAACGATCTCCCGAAGACTCAGGCGCAAACCACAGTTCTTATTGAACTGCTATCAAAGCCCGTGAACACGACGGTCGATATCCTCGTAGTGGTATTCGACGTGAGGCTACCACAAACTTTCAACAGTCGAGATGGTATCAACCGCGAAAAACAAACGGTTACTGTACTCGACGACAGTATGAAAATGGTGAATCTTGGCCTCTGGTCGGAGTTTGTCGGCAAATTAGATGGAAAAGAAGGTGATGCAGTCATTCTACAGAACCTCCAAGTGCGAGATTACAACGGCACAAGACAACTGTCAACAACCACAAACACAATCATCCGTGAAGCGGCAGGCGATGCCGAAGCAGAAAGGCTTCAAAAATCACAGAATCCGCATAAATCACATTAGATCACCGCGAGTTTATTTCTTCATAAGCAACACAATTATTCCGCAGATTTCCAAGAGTTTGTTGCGTAACCGGGACGTTTTCACGCCCCGCCAACGGTAGTGCTTGAGCACTACCTCTTCAGGACTTTTTTGAAGCAGTTATGCCAGGGGAGTCTAGAGTCCCTTGATCGCTTACTGGAAGTGCACGAACGAAACGGTATAGCTGAGAATTCATCACTTCAGACTTATTCGGCGGGCTGAAACTTTTTCCAAACTAGGGCTCGAGCCTTGCGGTCAGAACCCACCAGAGATTGATGTTCGTTTTCTCGTTCGTTGCAGGTTCGCAGACTTGGAAAGCGTCTAGGTCTGTTCCGCAAGGAGACCAGCTGCGGCAGCTGTCACCAGCTGCACGAAGTTTACCCGCCACCTCCTCCACCGCTGCCGCACGCGGATCTGCAAGAACTCACAGGTCTCACCGCGCCTATTCCCCCGCCGATGCGAGAACCAGGTAGCGACTACACCTGGTGAGCATCCGCTGAACCCGGGAAAGGCTCACTAGCACCAGGCAGCTGTGAAAATCTGTGCTAGAGATCTTCAGAGACCTGCTGCACATCTGCTACGCGCTCGCCGCTGACGTTCTACGCGACCAGAAGAGCATGCAAGAGCCAACAGGAGGTCTCATACGGCTACTGCTAAAGGATGAGAACGACAGACTGTTGCGGAGGTGAATTGAAGCCTTAGAAGCGACGCACTCCCCTGAACCGGATTCCTCGTTTCCCGGCTTTCCCTCACTTCGGCATCGGGGAGTTCGATCCCGGAATGAGCATGACGCACAGATCAGCCGCTCCGAATTTCATCCAGAGCGTGGTTCACCGGGAAATCCGGCAGGGTTGAGATCCGGAGCGAGACAACTGCCGTCACGAGCTCTCCCGGAGCTATGCCGTTGTATATACTGAACGGAATGTCTGAGGAATTCCACGGAATCTCTTCTACGTGCACCCGGGATATCGTGCAGCACCTCTGTCCCGCATCTGTATGTGTAGTCGTTGCGAAAGTCTCTTCACCGAAGCCACCGCGCGGTGCGGCAACCTGCGTGATAGCGAGTTGGATACAAGCCGAGTCAATCAGATGAAGTGTTTCTGTTCGTCGACTGCGACCTGTCCACTCCAATGGATATCTCCCGACGCCATCCCCTAGGTACAGAGGGTCAGACGCGAGCAATCATGGGCAGGCTGAGGGAAATTATTTTTTATCCGGGTCTGAAATTGTATCGATCTCTCTTGCCGGTTTGTGATGCCCATCGTCGGATCCAGCTCAATAAACGGGAACCTATCAATTGGTTCATCAGGCTATCTATCCATGGAATGATCGACCGACTCTGGATACTCTCATCCGGAATTACATGCAGAATCTACCCGAATGTCAAAACGAGCATCGAAGAGACGGACGCCGTTTCGATGAGGAGCCCCGCGGGATGCGGGGACTTTCCAGCGGCCCAGAACTCAACGAGTTCGCCGACGTAGAGCATTGCGCACAATCGACCGTCTTCTCGGATGACTTTCCGAGCATTGCAGAAGTTTCAATAATGTTTTGAATCGAGTCGACTCTAAGTTGATCCCATCTGTCTGCCGCGTCGCAAATATTCCACAACTGGCTCTCCTCCTACATCTGTACGAGACGTGGCTCGACAGACACGCCGCACGAGCGGCGACACGCAAGCAGGCAGACGGGTAAGCAAGGCAGGTGTAGCAGATGGTGGATGCGGGTGGCTCACGCGAATGATAAGCACGAGAACACGGAGCTTCCCTGAAGGTAGCTTGTCAAACCTACGCTAATAAGCCACATCGGCTTCTACGAGACCGCGGCCAATATACTGATTTCGATATAATATCTCTATCGGATAGCGGCAGATGATACAGCGCGAGATCAGCACAGACATCGATCGTGCTGATAACGTGCATGAGGGCGTCGCGGTTCCAGCCTGCCTTGCAGCATCAACCGGACCTGCAAGAGGCTCTTGCGGTGTCTTTAAGATGGAACACTCCCAACATTCAATGTAAATAAACGAATATTGTGAATATAGATGAACCGAAGGGGAGGAAAGTATGAGCCAGGGAGTGAGGGGCAAAATGGCGTCCAAAGGGTTCGGGGAAACATTTTGGTGCAAAGCGATTCGTTAATTGAAACCCATGCTCTCGACAGTTATAGACTTGGAGGGTCAGAAGTTACTGTAAAAAGAAGACGTTAGTAAGGGATCTCGAGAGGAACATTCAATCTTTGGAAAGGCGTAGGGGAGATCGGAGTGTGCGGCCTCCGAAATTCTCGCGTCATTGTTGAGAGGTAATTGATATTGAATGAGATGATATTAGCTGGAGAGGAAGCGTGTGAGACTCGAAAGACAGAATAAACAACTCTGGTGAATTGCTTCTTTGGAGCTCGGGAGTCCTCAATCGAAATGCCCCATCCAGGCAATGTTACCAGGCCAGGACAGCATCGCTGCCTACCCGTATGATATATTATATTGCGACTGTGATGATGCTCCCGCGTATGATCCTCCTCTGAGCCTGAGAACTGTGAGCTTACGAAATCTTTTGGCTCCCTGGGAGCGTCTCTCCAAGAAGGAAAGAAGATTGCCGATTGGTTATCGATCGAGAATCTCTCGACCGTCAATAAAATGCAGCTGGATCATCCGCCCCCAACTTTCTTCCCTCAGAGCACGCGAAGTCCGACAGAGTGAAACACTGCGAATCCAAATATTTCACTCTGCGAATGGATCTCTATATCGGGCCTTCGCTCGCAATCACGACCACTCACTGAAAGAAAACGAGGAGGAAAGGACTCACGAGTCCTGGGGCAGAAAATGCGAAAACGGCGGAGAGCAATCAGTGCACTGAAGCAATTATTCACGGACCGAAAGCATGACCGGCTACCGGCTACCGGCTACAAGTGCATGATGGTGACTGAGAAGGTATGATTATGCAGAGAGGACGAAGTGAAAAGAGCTGCTCAACAAGACCAGCTTCCAGGCAAAGAGATCCGCCATGCAAGACCTTGAGATTCCAAAAAATGTCACTTGCAGGGAGGCCTCGCTTGACGCGGCCGAGCATGTAGAAGAGAAGGCTAGCACGCTCTCTTAGAGAGGAGCAGCTTTGGTTCGAATTCTCTCAAAAGGCGGCGGCCTCGGTTCCTTCTCTGCCGCTTTCTCTACACCGGTCCACCCCTCGCCGGGACTCCAGTTGGCGAGGAAGCAGAGTCTGAGACCACGGGACTGGCTCCTTCCTGAATAAGCTCTCTCAGAGGCTACCGATATAACCACAGCCCAGGCCCCATTTTTTAATTGTCTCATGAGACTTTCATATGAATTCCACTCTCTCGCTGCAGAAATCCCACCACGATCCCTCTAGCCTCATCCTCGGGATGAGAAGAATGCCCGAGTTTATGGGATGAGAGTTGTCCAGGAAAATTATAACCGGAGCAACCCCTCGTTCCCCCCGCCAGAGTTCACTCACTAACTTCAATCACCGATGAAGCTTGCCCCGAGACTCCATGGATACAATGATGACCTCCAACAATTAGGTAACGCAGAATCCCCGCATGCTTCCTGTTCCCGATTCTGATCTCTGATTCCCGATCGGAATAATTAGAATGTCTTGAATCCTCATATCTTCCAGAAATGAGACTGACCATGCCGTCTTACCAATGAGGGGGACCGTCAAGTCCGAACGGACAAGAAGTTTGAATTAATCGGAATAGAGCAAAACTCCACCTTCCTCCATTTCTCTACACACTGCTTCGATACGGAGGGAGCGCTAGCCGGGCGGTAGAAGACGCCGGGCAGATATGAATCAGATTTTGAAAATGAACGAGAATCTCTGAACGGTAGCGCTGACGGATAAATGTAGAGGAACCTCAATTTTGGGACGTTATTGGTTGGACGCAAACCATCTGGCACCTCTCAACGACTGGAGCGCACTGTCAGGGGTATCGTCGTGAGGCTGGGGCAGAAGGTTCCTACCCTAGGATGAAAAAGATGAAAGAAGTGAAGAACTCACTTATAAGCTCCGTCAGGTTCTCGAGGGGATTGAAGAAGCCTCTCACTCGCTAGATGAGGGGGGATGTGAATAGTTTGCCTTCCCATCGTCCCACGATGGAAGACCTGGTCATAAGTAGGTATTTGGTCCCGCACCTGTGCACGCGCTCACAGAGTCTGCAGTGAATTCTGTTTCAAGATTCGAGGGGGCGAATCAATCTATGAAGTATCCGAGATCGCTCGTGGAACACGGCAGACACATCTGATCCCCCTCCATTTACTCGATCGCTCCTATTTGGATTAACAGCAGTGACTTTGCTAAACTTTCAGTAGTCCTTCCATGATGCTTGTGTTTCCCCTCCCACAACCTAGTAATCCCATGAGGGAACTGGGCCTTTCCATCGGGGCAGGTTCTGCCGCCGTCGTGCTAATAATGAAACAACCAGAAACTGACGCAAGGTCCTGCCAGAACTCCTTTTTTTCGACTCTCCCTCATTCCCTCACTCACGCTTCTATGCGTCCCAGAGTTTCCTCCGAAGCCAATTCAAGTCCTAGATTGGACCGCCGGCGTCGTGATTATCGAAGTCCCAGGAGTTCTTACAGGAAGAACCTGAGGGCTCTGAAAAAGAGACTTTCATCTCAAACCGGTAGAGAATTTGCGGATGAAATGATGCCGATTGGATCACCAACTCACTCGGATCAGAATTGCCCGCTGCCGACGAGCTCCGATTAACCTGGATCGACTGTTGGTGCATACACATATGTATCGATGTGTGTCCAGGAGGATGTACGCTCTCGAAGCTGAAACAATCAGGATACCGGAAGCGAATGTGAGGTGAATCGATTGAATGTAAACGTACGAATCCTCCGAAATGTGAACAGCGTCTAGGAAATGTTTGTCCAGTCCCGACCGAGGAGATAAGAATCGTGGAGAAGGACGGCGATGGTACACAATCCGAGGTTCAGACAGAGAAAAACTTTTGTCAAGAGAAATTTAGAGAGAGCATATCGGAGAGTATTGTTTGGTTTCTTCATTCCGAGAATAGCCTCGGGTGCGGCCGCGGATTCCTCGAGAGCCTTGAGTAAGTTCTTTTTTATTTCATTTAACAGGAATATAACCATGTGTACAGAAAGTTCCATCCCGGATTTCCCGCAGCCCCTGCCTACAAGCGTCTATGCTCGAGATAGTTGCGTTTGCTGTTCGCGACGTTGTAGTTTAGCGACACGCTTGTGCTCGTGGGGACTGGTCTAATTACCTACCCGCAGGGGGCGGATGCGTCGACGAGGGATCCAGTTGCTCTGTCGATGCTGGCAGAGCCATCCCGACACCGAGACTCGGAGCCCCCGAGCTGATAATCGTATCCCTTCGTTGGCGTATCCGCGGAGGCATCGGACGGATTGCGGCAACAAAGTTGCGAAAAAAAGCCTAGCTCGGAAGGGAACGATACGATGAAAGTTTCAAACAAAGACGGGAAGCTCAACGGTTTAGTAGACAAGTATGTCAGTCCCCAAAGCGCCGCGGTAAGTCTCTCTATTAATCATTATCCTCGGAGTTTATGATCCGCGTAATGGACGAAAGATGCGCTGGTCTATTTTGGAAACTTGCTCGGATTTTCGAGTCAGGACGAGCTATTCGAGCTCACACTGCATGTCTGCTCAAATT